AACGTGGGGTGAGATCTCTAAACTAGAAATCTCAGTAAGACAAAGGGGTCATCAAGGATCTTCCACCCCAAGCTCACTTACATGTGCAATATAAGTTCAAAAAGCATTTATATCATTATCAGTTCCAAAACTATATAATGCAACAGATATCTATGGCATGTGTGTAATCACTATCTACTGGCCAGAGAAATGTAAGAATACGTCATCTATTCCCTACATGTAGTACAAGGAACACCGCTTGCACCTCACCCACAGCCTCACCCTCTTGTATGTTCTACATACTCAGGCTTACCGTATAGGTGGAACACCTCCATGCATATCAACAAGGCACTAACATATAATAGCTCAACAGCATTTCCAAAACATCAAAAGCATATAACACAGCATGCATATACCATATCCCCATGGGACATGGTGGAACCACAACATGGCTAAACCGAGGACACGAAAGCTTACCTGTACCCGTATGCCCCTCCGACTCGAACTCGGTATCACAAGGGTCCACACCACAAATAGAATCCAATGCACTCACAGATCTGGTTCAATGACCATCATAGTATCAATATACACATTCTAAAATTCCAAGGAAATCGGATATTATTTTCTTTTTAAGACATATCATTTTACTTATTTAATTTTAGATAATTATTATCTTATAAATAAATATAGCCACAATAATATATATATTATATAAATATATATATATATATATATAACCAACGTTATATATATAACCAACGTACTAACATATATATATATATATATATATATATATATATATATATATATATATATAAAAGAATACAAACACTGACTATAAAAATAAAGCATGCCTTTTCTCTAACAACGACTCCCTGGAACAACTTTGAAGTAAGCATGCCTTTTTCTCTAAGGACTCCCTGGGAACAATACATATATATGTATATGTAAAATGAAACGAAAACTTATCCGGCTCCCTGTAGTTATATAAACAACTAGGCTCCCTGTACTTATATAAACAACTAGCAACAAACTTATATATAATAAACTTATATATATATATATATATATATATATATATATATATACACGGCTCCCTGGGAAAAGTAACAAACTTTTATATATATATTATATAAAAACAACTTGAACCAACGTAAACAAGGTGCTAATCGAATTCATGTAAAAAAGATGCAAACTTTTCAATTTGTAAACACGCAACCCAAAAAACCAAAGTGACAAAATAGATGGCCATATACAGAGGAAGAGGTAGCACACAGTGTGCTGTGCGAATGCCCTTTTATTAACATGATTCTGAATGAACAGTAACATATAACAAATATTACACTCAAAATTATGGATTTACAAAGAGATAATTAAGTTTACCTTGATTCCTTTTAGAACAGAAAAATAAAAGCTTGAGAGGTTTAGAAAGCACTCAAATCTTCAACAATGGGTTATCCTTCAACAAAACTAAAGCTTTAATGGATGGGTGGTGTTTCAATGAATGAGAGGAAGAAAAAAAAATGGAATCTTTAGAGAAGAAGGCTAGGACTCCAAGAACTCTAAAGGGAAGCCACACTCAGCCACTGCTTTTCTTTCAAAAACAAACACCTAGGGTTTTGTGCCCAACTATTGTATTTATAGGCCACTTAAGGGTTAAAACACACAGTATTAGCTTTAATTGCTACGCTTAGTATTTTAATCCCAAACTCTGGATTCATAACCTACTTAATTTTATAAGAATTGTCATATTTTTATTATATTTTTCTGAGCACCTTTCCGGTACGCGTTTTTCATAGCCAGTATCAGTTTCTGGCATCAATTCTCATTATTTTGACTTGAAACTCGTTTTACAAGTCCTATATCTTATTCTAGTAATTATCATGCACTTATATTAATTTTCCGGGATACTTTTTCGGTACGCATTTATACCGACTAGCAGAACCGGTATCTGCACTTTTCTTCTGAAAAGCGACTTTCAGCATTCTTAATCACTTACCATAATTATTAAAGCCTCTTAATAATTATTAGGGTCAATTATGGAATCATTTCATATTTTCACATAATTAATTAATTAAATACCTTAATTAACGGTGCGGGTTCTTATAGAGGATAACCCAGAAAAATACATTTATGAGACTGGGGAGCTAATTTATCCAAACTTGGACCAAGATGATGAACAAAACACGTAGAACCAAACACATGTGGAGTTAAAGGATATAAAACCTGATGGGGAAATAAAATAGAGTGAGGTACCTTATGATTGAGAACAGATGATGCTATGCGATTAATGAGATAGCATGCAGTAAGTACAACATCACCCCAGAATGTGTATGGAACATTACAATCAATTAACAAGGCACGAGTGGTTTCAACCAGATGGCGATTCTTGCGCTCGGCTACACCATTTTGTTGAGGTGTATGAGGGAAAGATGTTTGATGAAGAATGCCATGAGATGAAAATAATTGTTGAAATTGATGAGATAAGTACTCACATGCATTATCACTACGAAAAGTACGAAGAGGAATACCAAATTGAGATTTTATTTCATTATAAAATAACTGAAAAATAGAAAACAACTCAGACCGCTTTTTCATTAAAAGTAACAAAATACTTAAAACCCAAAGTAGAAGAATGACGACTGGGTCCCCAAACATCAGAGTGGACCACAGAAAAAAGGAGAAACAGCTTGACGACTAAGATGACTCGAAAACGTACTACGAGTATGTTTCCCAAACTGACAAGACTCACAATTTAAAGTAGAAAGAGACGATAAATGGGGAACCATCTTCTGAAGCTTTGCAAGACTAGGATGGCCCAGACGAGCATGGATAGTAAGAGGAGAATCCACAGTGGAGCAGGCTGAAGAAGAGGGAACTAGATAATAGAGGCCTTGAGACTCACATCCTTTGGTAATCTCCTTCCCCGAACTCCGATCCTGAAAGATGACAGAGGTTTTAGTAAAAAAAAAACAACACAGTCAATGGATTTGGTCAAACGACTAACAGAAAGTAAGTTAAAAGGGGAATCGGGCACATATAGAACATGATCCAGAGATAAATTGGGTAAAAGAAGAACCGTGCCAATTCCCTTTGATTTGACCAGAGACCCATTGGCCATAGTAATAATGGGAAAAGAATCAGTAGTACAAAGGGAAGTGAATAAGGACTTATTACCAGAAATGTGATCAGAAGTCCCAGAATCAAGAGTCCAAGGGCCTATAGAGTGCAACTGAGAGATGCCAGCAAAAGAATTACCAGAGGGAGCAATGGATGCAGTAGGACCTGCTGTTTGCTTTTCAGACCACCAAGTCACAAATTCATTCAGAAGAGCAGCTGGAGGTTGTGCACTGGAAGGTAACTCTGGAGCAGAGGTACGAGAGAAAGCCTGAGCAACATGAGCATTCCGAGAAGGTGGAGGTGGCCTGCCATGAAGCTTCCAACAGCGGTCAACAGTATGATTGGTCTGATGACAATGAGTGCATAACAGCTTTCCTTTAGAGAATCGACGTCCACGACCATACCCTTGAACAGCAAAAGCTGAAGGGTCAACAGAATCTTCTCGACGTCCGGGACCATACCCTTGAATTGGTCATAAGAGAAAAAATTTCGTTGCTTTTCGACAAAAAGTATTCCGACGAAATTTTTGTCATTTGCAACGTAGAAATTTCATCGAAATTTTGTGAAGAAATCAAGTCAAAAACGGGTAAGGTCAGATTTGACCCACTTCAGAAATCAAGTCAGACCCACTTCAGAAACCAAGTGAGGTCAGATCCGAATTAGTTCTGAACTAGTTCAAAAAAATTCAAACCAAGTCAGACCTGACTTGGATCAAACTAAAGTGGGTCGAGTCAAAATACCTGACCTATAAAAATCAAGTTGGGTCGAGTCGGCACCAAAATCTGACCCGACCAGAGAGATATATCTCACGTGACTTGAGAAATATTTTTCTCATACATACATACATACACATATATATATATATATGAAAGATTTTTTGAATTTAGTGTAAGATTTACATGTCTTACTTCTCATCTCTGCCATTGATTTTCGTCTATCTAAAGGTTGTCATTTATATAAAATTAATAATTAAATAATGGGAAAAGTGTGTGTCCTTTTAAAGGAAACAAACTTTGGTTCTTTTAAGAGAGAGATAAACATAAAGAAGTGAGACTCACACCTTTATTTTTTTTGTCTTTATTTTTTAGTGAGACTCACACCTTCTTTGTTTCTATCTCTCTCTTAAAAGGTCATAAGCAGTGTTTTAAAACCCCAACCCACCTCCCAGGTTGACCCGGGTCAACCCTGGCTCTGCCTCTCAGAGGGTTGGGGTCAAAAGTTGGACCCTATATGCATATCGACCCCTCCGACCCCAAAAACCCGGTCGGGTTTCAGTGACTCCTGGGTTAAAGGGGTCAAAGGGTATAACATCCCGCATAATTAGGAGCATATATATATATATATTATTACTCAGAATGTGAGGCAGGCTTTATTTTCGAATTAAATCATAGAGTGAAATCAATTTAATTAGGAAAATTATTTTGGTGAAAACTACAAACGAGTGTTTAAATATTTTAAGAATTTGAAACCCTAGTTAATAACTAGTGGGAACAATTAATAATAATTAATATTATATTACATAAGATAGGTGACCTTTAAGAAGTTATTTAATATTTGTCATGAAGGATAGGAATGTATGTCATGGATTAAATGTCGAAATAAATATATTGTAAGAATATTTTAGGAACCCTTACGAAAACTCAAATTACAATTAAGTGGCTTCATGAAACAATAGGGTTTACATAAATTATTAGGTCCAAGTTCTCCCATAGGCCACGGCCCAAACTGTTTTAAGGAAGGGTTAGGGCAGCTTTATATTTTCTATTCATGATCCTTAGATTATCCTTAAACATAATCTACACCCTTGCTCTTGATTGGCCAAAAGGGACACATGTCCAACCTTACCTGTCACCAAATTTGCATGCATGAAATTGTATTGGGCAATGGCAAACCTTATCCCTTTCTCTCTCGTTACCTCATCTTGTACGCATAGGATAGGTAAACCATTGGAATTGTTAGTCACTTGGTTCAGATTTGTGAACAGCATTGTATCCTCCTTCTTTCCACGCCTGGCCGTAGGTTAGTTGGGAGAAGAACACAAGAACAAAATCAAAATCTGATTCACCTCCACCCTCTCATCACCCCAACCGTACACCCACTAAGCTTATCAACCATGGATTGAGTTTCAATACCACACTCTCTTCTCTTATGCTCCAGGAAAATCGTGTGTTAATTGAGAGGGGAACTATCATCTAAGTTCCCGGTCATGTCCTCCCTAGTTCGCATGAGTTGCAGCAGCCATGGTGAAGCTCAAAATTTCACCTACTTCTTTCCTATCCTTTGGTTCGGCCGAAATTCCAACCTCTAAGAAGGTAACCTGTCTTCTTTACATCTCTGCCCCTTCTTCATTCATTTCGATTTGAAAAAGGGTTCTCACCTTGCATGCGCATGATCTGGTCTGAATTAGTGTTGCCTTCTTTTGCATGCAAATGATGAATTGAGCTGGACCTTTATTCCTTCCTTCCCTCGGGCACACAGCTAAAAGTAGAAGTAAGTCAATTATTAAACCCTTCTTTGTTCGGCCCCTCATGTATGATAGGAAAGTAATTTTGTTTGTGCCATTTCCTCCCTGAAATCTGTCAATAGGTACATCCTTAGAAATTGATGCATGTGAACCTAAACCAAAAATTTTGAATTTGGAAATAACCCCTTATAAATTGTTGGATTGCTTCTTGGATCGGAAAACCTTATTTGGCCTTGCAATTGCTAATACGCTTAGGGGCAGCATGTGTACGGTCTTGGTAGCACAACTTGTGATTGCAAGTCTTGTTATGTTAAAATAAAAAGGATGAACCTTGATAACTTGTGGTAGGATTAAAATTAAAAGCAGAAAACTTAATCAGCCTTGGAGTTAGTACCTATAAATCTTGCTTAATTAAATTGTGAGTTTGGAGATAGTTTCTTTATTATTGGGCTGCCATTGGATTAGCCAAATTAAGTAGGTTTTGCATGTACGAGACTTAGGTGTACAACATCCTTAGGAGTCCTCTAAACGCACCTTAGGCAGTGTAGAAATGGTTGTAAAATTGAATGAATCATGAACACTTCTAACGGTCCAAACCGAACAAGGATGTATTAGAGCACTTGGATGTTTCATTGTTAACCGATTGGTGTGTTAGCTTTCAGCCAGACAACCTATCTAGTCTAGGAATTATGAGAACAGGTTAAGAATTGGAGAACATTTTATTTGGGCACTTCCTTTAAATTCTGCCTTCTTAGAACAGCCTAAGAATGTAAGGCATGTAGGCCTTAAAACGAATTTTTGTGAACAGCCATGAAACTAGTTTATGCAAACTGAAATTGATTTCCTTGGGAGCTGGAAATAGAGCTCCTCAATAGCCTTGGACCGTCCTTGAAGAGAACCAAAAATATGTGATCTTGCATGTGTAGGAGAACCGAGTACAACATGCTAAATTGTTAATCTTTCATGCCTTAATGATGTCACTAGAAGTTTGATATAGGAAAAATAGCGAGCACCTATTTAAGGGCCTAAAACCGAATCTGCTTGAACATAGTATCTTGGGATTTTGTTGTGGTTTCTTATCGACTGACAGAATAAAATGTAGGACAAAAAATTAATAATGCAAGAAGCATGATGACCTAATTAAACACTAGAGATTGGAAGACATGGACATGGCATGCGAATAATAGGATTATAAGAATAAAGATCCTTAATGTATTTTAATGATGAAAACCGAATTTGTATAGATTGGAAGCTTTGAGTCCTTTTTCTGTTAATGAATTATTAAATGAATATGAAATCAGAATTTGATTTAGTAAAATAGGCATGATAAACCGAATAAGTACAGGGACTAGGAGGCAGAGCATATTTGTTGCTGAATTGTTTAATTGTATGAGTAAAATTCTGATTTAACTGCACTCTTGCTTAGGTGTGAATAACTCTTGAGTGTGGGCTGATTGTTGCTGCTATTTAATAAATAATTGTGGCATTCGAGGTATGTGTTAGGTGGTATTACCTGATGTGACTATTAACCAGTGTATGAATTGTGAATTGTTTCTCACATGTGCCTTATGATTATTCTGCCATAATTGATGAATTATTCTGCCTATGGAAATGTTATGATTATGGAAATTCTTTTATGAAAAGAAAGTATGGCTTGGCAGTATGATATCTCATATACATGAAATATATGTTATGACAATGATGATATAAGCATGCACCTTGCATCATACCGCATTTGTTTTCTGTTTGTGTGTGACAGCATAGCATGGCATGCATACTATAGGCATCCCTGTGACTGAGCACGCATCATATAGGCATCCCTCGGTACCAGGGTATGGGACACTTGGCATCCGTCCGCATAGGTCACAGTGGGATTCAATAAATGAAGGTGCCGTTGCATGGAATTCCCACTGTGTATGCACGCGCACGACGGTGCTATGAGCGTGAAGAAGGCGTTATATACGCAATATGATATATGATGAAAAGGATTTAATGTTTGTAGCGACTGTTTATAATTTTGTGCCTAGTTTAATACTGTTGCATTATTGGTTTTGTTGCCACACTACTGGGATTTTTCTCACCCTTTTGGGGCTGCTAGTTTTACAAAATGGCAGGAGGACATAAGAGCATTTGAAGACATGTTTAATTGGATATTTGCTGTTATTTGCTGCTGAGCTGTATGGACTATTGTTGTTGCTGATGTTTGATGGATGACTGTATTCAATTGAGTAACTTGGATTACAGTTGGATTATGATTTTGGATTATAATATTTTCAAGACAGATCGTTTTCGGGAAAAATCAGAGTTTCGCAGCGAAAGCCTTTTTGAATTTTCTTGCTGATTTATTTCTCCAAGTCAGTGTCTAAGCAAGCTTTTCTAATTGATATTAAATGAAAAAGTTTTTACTAAACGAGAATTTCATACGATAACGTTAAGTCTCTAATCCGCTTAGCAAACCACTCTCTTGGATGCATACAAGGGAGGGTGTTACAAAGGGGGTCACTGTATGTTTTTTTTTTTAAATTTCATGAAACAATTTTATTAAAAAATAAAATAAAATTGCTAGCAAACCTAAATCTAATCGTTCTCTTCTCTCCCAGCGACCTAGACATCTTCAATCTCCACCTCACTGTGAATCTTCTAGAAAATTAAAGAATTTTACCCATTCAAATGAAATTCTTACTATCATCGACGGAAAACAAAAACTCATTCTTTCTTCCTTTAAATTTTTTTTTGTCAGGGACCTTCTCAAAAGAGGCAGAACCGGGTTAGCGTATATGAGTTTTGTACTTTGGTATCTTGATACTTTAATTAGATTGTGAAATATTGACTTGTGGTTGTAATTGGTGAATTATGTTAAGTATATTTTGAATCTTTGATGATTGGTGGTTTGTTTTTTAATATTTTCATATAGGATATATATATATATATATATATATATATATATATATTGGGCTTATCGTTTTTCAAGTTGCTTGAGATAATTTTATCTCCGGCTACTAAATCATAACCGTACGAAGATGGATCAATGGTGATAAAGGAAGAGAGAGAAAAAGAGAATCATAACCATTCAAAGGTGAATCAATTAATATAAGGAAATAAATAAACAAAACGACGTAGTTTTGCGGAGGCCGGAGATAAATTTATCTCAAGTTGTTGAAGAAATGTTTTTCCCATATATATATATATATATATATATATATATATATATATATATATATATATATATATATATATATATGTGTTTGTCATTTTAAGTGACATAAGTTATGTCATTTTAAGAGAGAGATAGACACAAGAAATGGAAATCATGGGAGAGAGAAAGTGGGTAATTTTTTTAATTTAAATTTTAAATAAAAAAATTTCTTGTGTCTATCTCTCTCTTAAAATGACATAACTTTATGACATTTAAAATGACAAACACTTTTCCCTATATATATATATGGGCTTATCGTTTCTCAAGCTGCTTGAGATAATCTTATCTCCAGCTATTAAATCATAACCGTATAAAGATGGATCAATGGTGATAAAAGAAAAGAGAAAAAAGAAATCATAACCATTCAAAGGTGAATCAATTAATATAAGGAAATAAATAAATAAAATGACATAGTTTTGGGTAGCCGGAGATACACTTATCACAAGCTGCTTGAGAAATATTTTTTCCTATATATATATATATATATATATAAAACTGGGTCAGCGTAGTGATCCCATGACCGCCGGTTGAACCTGTGACTCCGTGATCCCTGACCTCAGCCGGGTCGATGGCCGGGCCTGATTTTTAAACATTGGTCCTAAGTTTGTGTCCTTTGAAAGGACATACATTTTGCCCTTAATTAATTGGTATAACTTAATAAATTATAACAATTAGATGGATGGAAATCAACAGTTAAGATGAAGAGTAAGACTTGTAAGTCTAACACAAAGTCAAAAGATCTCTCCATATATATATATGTATATATATATATATAGGGCTTCTCATTTCTCAAGCTGCTTCAGATAATTTTATCTCCGGCCACTAAATCATAATCATACAAAGATGGATGGATCGATGGTGATAAAGGAAGATAGAGAAAAAGAGAATTATAACCATTCAAATGTGAATCAATTAATATAAGGAAATAAATAAACAGGACGACATAGTTTTGGGATAACCGGAGATAATTATATCTCAAGCAGCTTGAGAATTTTTTTTCCAGATATATATATATATATATATATATATATATATATATATATATATATATATATGAGGTAGGATCCTTTAACATCAGTGTCAAATTTCAAATTTGACACCTCCTCTGATAGCCGTTAGATCAAAAAAGATCAACGACTCTGATTTGTAAGCATGTGATACCATTGATCTTTTTTTGATCTAACAGCTATCAGATGAGGTGTCAAATTTAAAATTTGACACTAGTGCAAAAGGATCCTACCTATATGTATATGTACATATATATATATATATATATATATATATATATCTTAATTTTGGCTGTTGATCCTATTTATATCTAACGGTTCTAATTTATTAGATATTTAAGCCGTTAGATGGAAGCAAATTAATGACCAAGATTTGGTGTAAGACTTCTTATTCTTACACCGGTGTAAGAATATTTCTTCGGCAACTTGAGATAAGTTTATCTCTGGCCGCCCCAAAATTACGTCGTTTTGTTTATTTGTTTTCTTATATTAATTGATTCACCTTTGAATGATTATGATTCCCTTTTTCTCTCTCTTCCTTTATTACCATTGATTTATCTTTGTACGGTTATAATTTAGTAGCTAGAGATAAAATTATCTCAAAAAGCTTGAGAAACGATATCGTTTAATCGCCCTATATATATATATGGGTTATATGATTGTCAAGTCACTGGATATAAGCTTTTATCCAGTCACTAAATCATAATCGCATAAGGTGAGTCAATGGTAATAAAGGAAGAGAGAAAAATAAAATCATAACCATATAAAGATGGATCTATTAATATAAAAAATAAATAAATAAATTAAATGACGTAATTTAATCATGACTTGACTATCCAATGACATAACAAACAATAATTCCTATATATATATAAAAGACTTATTTCATTATTTCTACTATTTTTTCTAAAACCATTAATTTTATTTTTTATTTTTAAAAGAAAAGTGAGTAATTATTATTTTGACTGGAGTTATAATTGAACCGGATGACACCAAAATATCACAAAATGTAAAAGTAGTTTAAAATTTACATACAGTCAGGCATGTAAATATGTCAGATGACCTAACATGCGTCTACAATCTGGTCTATGTTAGATATGACCTGGCTTACTCTATTCTCTAAATAGAGCATGTATAGGCTTTTAGAAAAGTTCATTAAAAAATTAAGACATAGGTCAAACTTTAAAAAGTCTGGCCTAAAAGGCAGACTAGTCTTTAATTTTTTAATAATATAATATTTTCATGATATATATTGTTCACTTA